GGATAAGGATGAAGCTTGATGAGGTTTAAGTGACCAATCACATTTTGCCACCTCTCCCATGCTTATCAACTTACATGGATGTCCTTACCCTATAAATAAGGGTGTGGGAAGAAGGGAAAATTATTCTAGAGCTAAGAGAAAGCAAGGTTAGAGAGAGAAAGAAGAGAGAGAAAGAAAAAAGAAAAAAAAATAGGAAAAAGGAAGAAACCCAATAAAAGTGTAGGAAATTGAAGGAATTTAAGAATTTTTCCACGGCAAAACTCTACCTAAATTGTGAGAAAACGAGAGAGGAAGGAAGAAGGAAAGGAAAAAACTAAAGAAAGAAGAGCAAAGGAAAGTAAAAACTCACGATCAATCATGGGAGAACCCGCGAGCTTAAGGTAAGTTTTCTCCTTCATATGAATTTCATTTATCTTGAAATTTTGAGGATTATTTTTCAATGATATGAAGGATATTTTTTTAGGCTAGATATTTCTCAAAATAATTCTAGAACTCTGCCATATATTTGAGAGAAAAAGCTTAAAAATTAAGTCGAGACTTTGCCGGAGTTAAAGCAGCATATCCTACAAGGTATGTAGTTTCAAGTTTCTTTTCAAGAAAATCAATTTACATATTATGACGATATTTTTTATTGTAAAATAGTGACAATTCTAAGGAATCAGATGCTGCCACAATTTCACTAGAAATTTGAGAAAAATATAAAGGGAGACTTTGCTCGAGTGAAAAGAGAAAATTGAAGTATTTTTAAGGAAAGACTCTGACAGAGTGACTAGAAAAAATTCAAGAAAATATAGGGAGAGACTCTATCAGAATAAAAAAAGCTTAAATTGATTGCATCAGACTCGATGTAAGTGGGTATTGTGATTGCATAGCCTATGTAGTTTTCAAAATATTTTAAAAGTATTTTTAGTATAGTAAATGGATCTTGTGATTACATGGCCTAAGTAGTTTTGAAGTGTTTCATCAGTGTTTTATACATATTATATATATATAATGCAAATATTTTGTAAAAGTGCTATTATATTTTGAGTGTTATTTTATCCATGTATTTTGAAACGTAATTTTGATAATTATGCATCACTCATTATCGAGGGGAGCTATTCCAAAAGCACTTGCGTGATGCTAGACTTCAATGTGCCTCTACATAACCGTTTTGTTTTTGGGTATAGTGAGAAATTGATAAGTGTGAACCCATAAGTAATCGTTCTATTTTTTTGTGTATGAAAAAGTGTTAAGTGTTAAATGTACGCCTAAGCATGCATGACAGTAGGAAGATGTGAATGGCCCTCCATAACGGTGATGAAGTAGAGCTCATTGTACAATGTAGCGAAGTGCATCTGTTTTCTGATTCTGGGATATGTGGTTCGTTATACAATATAGCGCACTGTACCTGCTAAGTGATCTAGTACATGTGAGAGTGTAGCGCATTGTACAATGCAGCAATGTGTTTTCTAAATTGTGATTCTAATTTTAGTTTTTTACTATGCATCTGTTTTTACTAAAAGTGAATATGTTTTTGAGAAAGTGTAAAAGATATCTTGTTTTGATGTGTGTGAAATATATATATTGCATGTATTAGTTGTGTGTAATAATATCTACTTATTATGATAATATCTCACTCCCTCATTATTTTCAGATAATGAGGATTTTGCTGCAGAATAGTATGTGATACGAAAGAGAAATTGAGAACTTAGAGATCAGATTACCAGTTTGTACTTTTATATTGTAAGAAAAGAAAAAAAAATTAAATTTTCATATTATATTGTAGCTGATGTTCATTATTCAAGGGATGTAGCGCTTGTGCATACTCTGGCTATTAATGAAAGTTAGTTTTTATTATTTAATTAAGGGTAAAGTATAAGTGTGCTCTAGACATGCCCTAGAAGAAGAGGGAGTGGGCTGCGACAGGTGGTATCAGAGCACGGTTCTAGGACACATCCCTTAAATACGAAGCTTAGGATTACACAAAACCTTGTATTTATAGTGGAACTTAGAATGAGTATAGTAGAACGTAATGGGAACCCTCTCCTGTCCCTCAAGTATCCGGGAGTTAAAAATAGTGAGACCAATGAGAGAGCCTACATACGAGGTCCAAAAGATAGGACTGAATAAAATCTTGAAGGACTCATACGTATAGTGAATGACTTAGGTGAGATATTTTAGATACCATGGAATTTTTAAGGATCTAAGGAATAATGAATCTAGGGATGAGTGTTTTGAGAAGTGAAGAGGAGTTCTATATGATTGAACCATGAGATTTAAAAGAGTTTCCCTCACCAAAGAAATTACCAAGTGAGACAAGTATATGCCTTTGTGGTTAGAGATTGAACAAAGCTTGATATGTTGAGAGATAAAAGCTTATGAGAAAACATTTTATTGATAGCATTGAGGTCAAACATTGTTATGACTTGAAAGAGTGAATGTTACAAATCTTGAGATCATGTGAATAAAACTTTTGTTTTGGAGGATATGAGCTATTTTTGTTGATCAAAGAAAGACTAACTACTAGGAAAGAATGTTGTTATCCCATTACTAAGTACTAGTTCAAATTATGAAAGTGTACAATACTAAGGATTACCCTCCCATTCAAGTAGAGAATAAGTCGAGAACCTAAGATGAGGTATATTATCACCCATTTGAGAATTATAAGCAAACCATATTCCTAAAAGTAGTTTCTCGAACAAAGTGAAATGACACCATTGAACCTTTGGGGTGAGAATAGATAAGTATTACTGGATAAAACAACCAGTAGTGTGACAACTATCAAGACTAGTTTCCCATTTCTAAGTTGAAGCAGATGATTTACATTTAATTTAGCTTAGGTTTTAATGTTTACAACTAGAAAAAAATAAGCTAATATGAGGAGCTTGCACAAGTTTGCTTTGATTTTAGGCTTAAAGTTACAGATTTTATTAGACAAAAGAACTGAAAAATTAAGCCCTTCCAAATGGACAATACTACCTAGTCTCAGCTTTACGAGGGGTCATTCATTATTTGTGATTTCACACTGCCTTTACGCTTCCAAATGTATAGGAATGTGGTCCTCAATTCACCCTTAAGTTAGTAAGCCTGCAGCATGGAACATTTAACACCAAAGGTGGTGAGTACGAATGGGTCCACAAGGTAATCACTTGTTCTCGGCATTTTATGCATTTGCTTATGTAAACATATTTTCTTTTTTTGTAAAGTGCAGATATTTCTGTACTGTCTTTTTGTCTTCATTGTTTCATTTGCTTGTTCCTCTTATTTTTTCAGCCTGAAATGGACACTAGCAGAAAGAGATTTTTCTTATGACTTGTAGGTCCATTCTTCCTACTTTTCTCTTGTTACTTGTGGAATATAAGCATCATTTGGAGAATATGATATTCTATCTTCCATGAGGCATGAAGTTGGAATGCGGACTAATTGGCTTTTTCAAGTTGTTGATATCCATATTAAATTCGGCTATTTGAGATATCAAGTTACCAGTTTTGACCAATTCTGTAATCAAAGTGGGAAGAGATAAAACGATAGTGTTTTTGTGTTGAGATTAATCCTTGACACATCCATTTTAATGTTTATGCCTTTAGAAAAAATAATTATGTCACTTGATTTTCCTAATAGTTCTTTTTTGTCAATTGTCCATGTATTACTGTCGAAAATAGGATATAGACAGAAACTGGATAACTTCCAGGATGACCACTTCGACAGAAGTAATGAAAGGGGCAGCTGATCGGATCCAACGTTTCTTCTACTTGCCATCTGACACATTTGCAAAACACCATGTGAATATCTTGCAACCCCCATTTGAGTTTTAATGTTGCTTGATTTTCTGAATTCAGGAATTGCTACCCATTTTTGCTCTTTACTATTTCTCCTTGTAGATCCCTTTTAATCCTTTTTCTTTCTTTTTTTTTTTTGTTTTTTGAATGATTTGGAAGAAGTTGTTTGGTTTTGTGTGTCTCTTGAGATGCTTGTGAATTTTGGTAAAATGGAAAATGAAGTATCATCTTTTTTTTTCTTAGAAATTAATTTTATCTTGTTTAAACAAGGTATATATTAAAAGACTGAATTTATCTGTGTGCAATGGTATTTAAGTAAATCTCACTCAATTGAGTGACTCTTAAATTACTAGTCATTCATATAATTTTCTGTAATTATTTTATTAAATTTCTTGTATATGTTATATCCGAACAAATATAACTCTGATATCTAATTATGCCATAATTAAAAAGATTTATTATATTTTAATCATTCATATAGTGTGTTTGAATTGTTGACTGAGTTTTTGTGTATTTTCTTTACGAAAAAATTATACTATTATTGATATATAAATGTCATCTAATTAATAAAATGTATGAAATTTTACTGAAAAAATATTGGTTTAATTTTTGTTTAAGTACTTTGATGGTTTAATACTCTGTAATTATTTTTTATATATATTTATAAAAATATTAGTTCTTAGTTTATTATTTTTTAATGTTTAATTATTTTTTTTTTAATTTTGACTTATGCACTCTTAAATTTTTTAATGTTCTTGCTTAAGAATCCAAATAAATGTATATATTCTATACAAATTGTCAATAATGTAAAATTACAAAAACCTACACGTTGTATTAAATTATCCCAAAAAATTATATAAAATTAATTAAAAGTTGGGCTAAACCACTAAATTTATATTTTATTTTTCTTATTTTCAAATTTGTATTTTATTATAAGTTGATGTTGAACTTTTAAAACTCTTCAGAACCTTAGAAGCAATACGAGGGTTTGAGTGAAAAAAAAGCGTGAGACAGAGTGAACTAAAATACGAGTTTAAACATGGAAATGAATTTTATAACGTTCATAAATTCTCAACTTAAGTCGTTACTAAAAGAAAAGTTGAAATTGTAACACCCATTAATTTTATTATTATTTTTTTTTAATTTATTTTATTTAGTTTATTTTGTAATTATTGAAATTTTAATTGATTTATTTAATTTAATTTAATTTAATTTAATGAAAATAAAAATAATAATAATGATAAAATTGGGTAAAAAAATATTATTTGGATTTAATTGAAATTGATTTTGAGAAAAATGGGTGAAAATTTGGATTCTCGGGGTATTTTTGAAAAGAAAATCGGAAATCGGGGGTCAAAACGTAATTTAGAAAAGTTGTGCCACGTCAGCACCACGTCAGCAGCCACGTCAGTGGCCCGGTCAGCAGCCCCAGCCAACCAGGACGCGCCGCGTGGCAAGGACACGCTGGCCAGGGGACAGGCCACGGGGGCAATCCGCGTGCACGCGATCAAACGGCCCAGATCCGTTCCCGCGCGCACGGACGGCCTAGATTCAATCAGGGACGAACGACCCAGATTGCATTGCGATGAACGGCCCAGATTTAATCCCAATTAAATCGCGATCGAATGGCCCAGATTCAATCTTGATGGACGGTCAAGATTAAAAGGCGAATGGTATAAATACCCCCACCCACACCTGACCAAAGAAACCTTAGCCGCCAGTGCTCGCCGGAGAAAAAGAACCAGTCTCCGGAGGAGCCCGCCGTCGCCACCCGCCGCCGCACCGGGGAAGTTTCCGACCGCCGATCGAGGTAATTTTTCTTCTTCTTGCTCGTTTTTCGACGTTGAGTCTGCCTATGGCCAAACCGGAGCCAAACCACCAGCCAAACGGCCGAAACCCAGTGGCGCTGCCGCGCCCCTCGGTTTTTGCCTCCGATAAGGCCCTTCCCGGCCTCCGTTCGATGCAAATTTTATACCACTGTGATCACCGTTCTTTTCTCTACAGGTTGATCGGAGCCAAACATCAAAACGCGACTCACGCCGGAGGAGCTGCCGCACCCGAGAGCACCGCCGTCGGTAAGTTTCGGTTTTTCGTGATTTTTTGGCCCACTGAGGGCCCTAGGGTTGTTCTATCACAGGGACCGATGCAAGCGTGGCCGAATTCGGCTGAAAACGGCCAACCCAAGGAGAATCGCCGCTATGCCAGAATTGCGATATTGGCCGAAAGGGGCCCTGGGTCTAATTTGAGATTTTTTGGGATACGTGCAGGTACCAGTAGTGCGTTTCAGTTCCCCAGAAAAAATTCACGAAAAATTAGGGACAGCCTGTAGGCGCACTGTAGAGCCATATTCAGACCCCGAAACAAGTAAGGACCTCTCACCCTATTTCCTATTACGGTATTAAAGCTTAATAAATAATTAAACTGTACTGTGTGACTTTATAGATGTATAATTGATTAAGGTTGCCAATGGAGCCCGAGTCTGATACTGTGTTGGTCTGTTATTGTTTGATTTAATTTCCATTATTAAATGCAGCATGATGTTTGATGTAATTATATTATGGTCTCGTATGCGTGAATCATGTTTTTTTTATTATGGTTGGTATTATGCTTAACCCGATACTGTGTTATCTTATTTGGTGTCGATGACTGGTTTACATGTTTGTATATGATTGGATGGCTGAGACCAAGGAAAAAGGCAAAAAGGTTATGTGAATTGATAAATGGAAAATGTGGACAGCCTGACTAGATATCCTGGGAGATGGTGGACGGACCGGATCCGTAAGGAACCCTACCGGGAACGTGGTCTCTCATACCGGACGGGGTATGGAGACTTTATGTGTTTTGGCGCCCATACCGGACGGGGTATGGGGACGGCCCGTTTCACCCTCATATCGGACGGGGTATTGAGGTTCATGGTTTTGGCGCCCATACCGGACGGGGTATGGGGATGGTCCTGGAATTAAGTTGTAAATGTTAATGGTTCACCGGTAGCGAGACCCCTATGGATCCCCATGGATACTAGTAGGCTGGTAAATGAGAAAAAATATGTTGTGTAATGATTGAAATGCAAAGGTGTGGTAAGTATTATGTTATACAGTTCATATGATTTCATGATGATGATAATGTTATTGCTTTCGTATGTTGTTTTATGAACTTCACCGAGATAAGTGGACAG